GGAGGAGGAGGAGGGAGGACGAGGAGGAGGAGGAGGAGGAGGGAGGGAGGGGGGGAGGGAGGAGGGAGGAGGGAGGAGGGAGGAGGGAGGACCCACCAACTTGCCTGAATTACGGGAAAATCTCAAGTGCAAGCGCAGTTCCTGAGTTCGGGGGCCTTCTTGGCCAGGCGCTCTCGGAGTAAATCGTGAGGAAGTATCCAACAGGAGCCCTTGTCGTCGTGGGTGGGCCTCCGCCAACTTAATTGAAATGCGAGGAAGTCTCGAGCGAGACCGCCGTTCCTGAGTTCGGGGGCATCTCTGGCCAGGGTGTCTCGGGGAAAAATACGACGAAGTATCGAGCGGGAGCCGTTGTTGTCGTAGCTGGGCCTCCAAGGGCCCACATTTCGGGTCAAACCACCGCTCGAGCGGGAACTTCGTTTTTAGAGAACATGTAGCCGGCGTCGAGGCGAGAGCGCGCGGAACCGCTTCTGGAGATCAACAAAAATTATTCTCTAGAAATGAGTATTCAACATCAACAACAAGAAGCATAATCCTCACCACGGATCCGCACTTCAGCCACGCACCCAGGGACAATGAATGACCGATCGGCCTCCTCACTCTGGTATACGCCCTCCTTAGAGGCGCGCGTCCGACCCGAACGAATGTGGACCCATCTTGTAGCACATCGTTTCGCGACGCATGTACTTTAATAAAAATAACCTGTTTCGCTGTCGGGGGCGCCTGTCCCTGGGCGGCTGGAAAGTTTATACCCTTACGGTGGCACCGTAGGGGTATAAACTTCCCAGCCGCCCAGGAGCAGGCGCCCCCGACAGCGAAAAAGTTTATGTTATACCGTTCTTCGCTCGCTGAGTACTATAGGATTTCCCAGTGCGCGCGTTGCCCCTGGGGCGGCGACGCAGATACAGTGTAAGTATGTTGGGGTGACGCCGACTGCACGCAGAGTGACCCTGAGCACGGAACGACCTCTGGTGCGCGGGCAAGTCCACGCGCGCAAGCCAGCTTTTGGGGCGGGACAGAAGGAGAGGCCGTCCGTTGGCTTTCGGGCGGCGGCTCTTAGACGAGCGCGTTCCACTACTCGCAAAGTAGCTGCTCGCAAATGGCCTGGATCCGCCGCGGATGATCCACGAAACATGAAATCGGAGAAGACATGTGTTTTTCGGGCGTTTGCGAGTAGGCACTTTGCGAATAGTGGAACGCGTTTGGGAAGGTGGGGACGATCCGGGCACCTCAGGCTAGCTCCCGACGAGGCGCAGCTGCCGGAAGGCACTCGAGGCGAGAAAACCTCGAAGGACCAGTGAGCCGATCCTGGCCACTCTTGCGAACAATCACTCCCACGCGTGGCCGCGCGTCATGTTGCATCTTCGGAGAGACCTTGTCTGTCCAATCGCGTCCCTATCAGCATCAAATCCGTTTCGAGTCAATGTCGGACTCGTCCAATCAACATCGAATCCACGTCGAATCCGCGCCGAATCCACGCAATAAATCCGCGTCGTGTCCGCATCGAGCTCGCGTCGGGCACAAGAAAAGACACCAACTCTGAAGGGCAGACGAGATCCCCCGAAAAAACAACGTAACGCGCGTAGTTGGACGCCCGCAATAGGTACGGAAAACATGCGAACGATGCCCAATCACAAATGTCGTCCAAACCGACAGCACCCGCTGTTGGGCAGGCGGCCTTTTGTCCCAAATCGACGACACCCGCGGCGACGCCGACAGGGAGTTCTGTTCGTAATGATACGCCACGAAAATATATACCCAGACACCCTCCGACGAGCTTTGCATGTACCTCCAGGGTGGGCGGTAGTGTATAAGATCGCCGGCTCCCAATTTACACACCACCAGCCTCCCATGATGCCCAAGATGTATCCATTGGAAAGTGTTGTGTATATATATATATATGTCTATATATACAAATATATGGTGGGAAAATGAACGAGAACTGCTGTCGGTCTTCATACCCGTTTTTCCCGGTACCCGTTTCGATCGCACCGAACGTACAGTCGGGGGCTTGACCTAAGGAACCCAAACTAAGGAACGAGGCCTCTTTTCTCCAGGCGTCAAACTTCGACTTCCTGCCGAAAACCGAAGCAAAACCAAGGGCGAACTGCAAAACAACTAAGGAACACCGAGCTCCTCCCCAA